AAAAACTCCAGTCAAGCTGTGGACTACAAAGATAGAGCTGAGGAAATCTTCATAGCAAAAAAGGGACAGGAAAATAAAAAGATGGCCTGAGGGCATCACTAGGAACAGAAAGTCTCCACCTTTTGCAGCTTCAAATGAGCAAAAGTGAAAGATTTTGCTTTGAGAAGAAAGCCACAGGGCATCATGTTCCAGAGTGGTGGCAGCATAAAAAATTTATTCCTCAGAATCAGGTTCAGAGTACTCAGCAATTCAGGCACTCAAAACCTACAGCCAGGAAAGAAAAAAGTCTGGCTACTGCTTCAGCTGGCAGATGACCTTGGCATTATCCATGTGGCACTGGTTTTAGGTGCATGCATAATGCAAGTGTTCTGAGTTTAAAAAGGTTTTCACCTAGATTTCAAAAGGCCTGGGAGGCCAAGCAGTGTGCCTCTGAGAGGGCAATATGTAAAGCGGTGAGTGTAAAGCAAAGGGTGCAGTGAGGACCCCAAAAGTTTATAAAAAAAACAAAAGCGTGGATTGTCTAAGAAAAGCTGCAAAGAGAGAGCAAAGCAGGCCCAAGAGAAAAGCCATGGGTGCTCTAGCCATCAAAAGTGCCATAGAGGTGGAGCCTCATGGAGCTCACACTTTGCCACAGATTGCCTCGGATTTTAAATGTAAAACTGCAGGACTTAATGTTTGCCCTGCTAGGTTTTGGACTTGCTTTGCTACCATTCCTTTGTACTTGGGGAATAAACATATTTATTTTGTGCTATTGAATGTTAATATTGCCTAACTTTCCATTTTTACAAAGGCTTGCAACTAAGAGTTTGCTTTAAATCTCAGAAAAGACTCAAAACTTAGACTTTTCAGCAGTGGTGAAATTGTTAGAACTTTGACAACTGTTGCAGCTGGATTAAATGCCCTTTGCATTAAGGGACGTACATGAGTCTTTGGAGGAGGCATGGGTAAGATGTTATGGTCCTAATGTAATATAATGTTGATAGACTTAACTGGTTCTTAAGGATTTTTAAAGTTGTGTTATTCATGTTGTAAAATGATAAGAATAATGTCTTTCTATCTGAAAACTGGTTTAAAGAAATGTCTCTGCTTGCCAAGTTGACAAGGGGTGGATTGTTATGGTTGATACATTGTGTCAACTTGAGGAGTCTAAAAGCTCAATTAAGTGATTCATCAGGAGGCCAGGGTGCTTACATTGTAAATATCCTTACCTTTTGGAAGAGAAGGGCACAAGAGATGGTGTGGGTATGGGCAGATGGCCAGTATGCAATTTAAGGGAGGAAGAGAGGCTTGCTCCTCCCCACCTTTTTGTTCTTGCAGCTTTTGCTGTCTTGTGCTGCTTTGAAGTGCTGCTGCTCTGCCCTGCCATCCTGCCTTGGAGCCAGCTGATTATAGACTAAATCCTCCACAAACTTTAGGCTAAATAAACCTTTCCTTCCTTAATTTCGGGCATTGGGTATTTTGTCTCAGCAACCAAAAAAGTAACTGAGACAAACTACTATAGCCACACTGATGGATATAAAAATAACAGTTCTAGAAACAAAATTCAGACTAGATTACGAATAGACCAAGCAGGTGAAACTATCATCTGCATGCTTACACCTTTCATGGCTCTAAAATTGAACTATGATGATTTACTACTGCTCTCTGATTGTATATCAGCTAGACTATAAGCTCAGTGAAAAATAAGAATTGCATTAATTTATGTCTAGTACATACTACAGTGATCAGTAAATATTTCCATTATAAATGGAGATTCAGACAGGTTATTTTTTAGTACCTGGAATATGCTGAAAATATGTCTCTTGGAAGAAAACTTTTAGGTCTTATTATTGTCTTGAAGACATGTTTCGAACTCAAACTTGTCCCATAATATTAGGACACAAATAACAATTCTTAAGTTTCTCATAAGTAGAAGACTACTACAAGTGTGTTCTACAATGATATAGATTTTTTTAAAAAAGAATTGAATTCCTAGAGAAAAAGGATTCTGAACTGTTTCCTAAACTTAAAATTCTACTTAAATTTTATTTGGCAGAAATAGGTCCAGTTTAAAATAGTAGAGGAATATAAATTTCAGGAAGTAGGCTATCTGTGAACTTCAATCACTTAAAAGAAATTGAGATTTTTGACAGTTTTGTATTTCTGATGATATAGAATCTCCAGTCATTTGAGGAAGTCAAAAACAGAACTATATTCCACTTCTGTAAACTACAAATTTCTCAGCTCTAAATAGAAATAGCAGAACAATTAAAAGAGCTGTTCATAATAATAATTTGATCATTTTAGAGGCTAGTTCATAAAATTTAACAAATGATGCAATGTATTTACACTGCAACATCTACTAAAACCAAAACATAATAGTAAGTCTATTTGGGGCTGGATATGTAGTTCTATGATAAAACATGTGCAGGGCCCTGGGTATGGTCCCTGCCACTACAAAAAAATTACAAATTTCTGCTAGGCCTTGTGCATTCAGAAATATGATTGTGTATAAAAGTTCCAAATTGTCCAGTTTTTCTTTGTACCAGGAGTAGAACTCATGACCTTGCACTTGCCAGGTAGGCACTTGAACCACTGAGCTATATCCCTGACACTAAATTGTCCAGTTTTGAAAGGAGAATTTTTTGTATTTTTAATATTAGGAAAACCATTTTGGCCAACATATCTTTTTTGTTGTTGTTTCAAATAACTACTCCATCTTTCATGGATTTTCACACATACATGACCAATTGACTAACTTTCCATGCAAATGACTAGTCCTGAATAGACTAAATCACTTTAACTTGCTGAATTTTTCCTACATGAAATGAAAACTACACTTAACTGCACAATTTTCCCATGTTTTGCACATGATAATGCTCTTTAAAACATCTCTTCACCTTGGAGCTAAGCAATTAAGTAGTAATACTGTGTTAGCTGAATTTACACCATGAAAAATAAATTCTTTGCAGTTGGTTATATGCATATATTTCAGTATACTTAGTTTTACATTCTTTACAACTTAGGATCTATCTACTTTATTTCTAATTTTCAAATACAAGGTTTATATTTTATTTTAAAAATAAAAGAACAAAAACACATTAACAAATAAGCAGTCATAAAACAACAATGAAAACAATAGAAGCAATACAGAATTTCAGATAAGGTGATAGGAAATTAACAATGGTTGTTGTATTAAATATTGTTATCTTCAAATTTGTTACTCAGTTAAACAAGTGTAGGCATGTAAGATTGATCAAACAATTAAACATTAACTGTTCCTTTCAATAAAGCAGTAAAAGTCCATAGTACAACTCTCTTAGCTATCTTGTGTATATATTTTTTTTCCTTCTTTCTTTTTCTCTTTTCCCTCATCCCAGTTGTTCTTTCCTTTTGAGCAGTTTCTTTCCCACTCACAATATCTATTATACCTTTCAGACAAATATCAGTTTTAATAATATCTTGAAAGTCTGCTTATGACTTTGAAAATACCATGGCACTGTTAACTCTTGTGTTAAAAGCTTGAGGAAGAGTAGCTTCTTTTGGAAATTAACCCATCAGACAGATCAAGCCTGAAAGTTCCAGGAATCCAGGGTAGCCACTATATCTTGAGTGAGTTTTGATGTTTCAAGGATTATCCTGACAAGCATTACCCAAGATTGAGACAAGCCCTTTCTGTGACCTATAATTGTTACCTGAGATCCAAAGACAGAATATCAAGTAAACTGATTTCTATGGGCAGGTAGCAGCACTCTATTAGGCATCATTCTTAAACTCCTACACTTATCCATTGTGGAAACAAGATGATCATTACCAACTGTTGAGTCAATAACATTCACCATTTTTTCTAGAATCACAAAACTAATACTATTACTCCTATAACACTGAAACAGACAGAAACATTACTACATTTCAAAAAATATCTTGAAAGGGTTCAGAACTGTCAACCCATAGTGAAAAATAGAATGAAGAATGACTATGTGCATCAAAATTATGTTAAATCATAGCATATGCATAATTCATTCAAACATTGAAGTTAGCACGTATGAGGTCAGGATAAAACATAATAACAAATTCCTTATCTTTCCTCGTTTGACTATTGCATTCAATTGTAGGGAATTTTAATTATAAATGAGTGTATTTGCATAATGAGCATTTTAGGAGGGGGAAATATGCATAAGCAAATGTTAAATCTGAGTACAATGAAATACATTTAATAGTGGTTAAATACTGTGACTGTACACAGTATTAGGTAGCCTCAAAACAATAAATGGATCTGCTTCATAAAAGTATGAATTCATATTACTGTACTTAGAAAAATTATGTAAATCAGAAATGTTAGCCAACATTTAATTTACTTTGGAAAGTATAAAGTTTACTATCACTGTATCATCACTTTAGTAGCTCATATCTAAAATGTACAGATTTAGCAAAAACACTACATATATAACACTATATATATAACACTATATATATACACTATATACATATATAGTAGCTCATATCTAAAATGTACAGATTTAGCAAAAACACTATATATGTAACTATATAAACACTATATATATAACTATATATATAAACACTATATATATATGTTTTATATATATAGTTATATATATATAACACTATATATATAAACACTATATATATAGTTATATATATATATATAACTGTTTTTTCAGTATCTACATGACACTAAATCAGGTTTTGCAAGAACTTTACTCATTGTCTCTCCAGAATCAAAGTCAAATTGATGGAAATCAATTGAGGTGACAATGGAAGAGGCTGAAAAAAAGGAATCATGAGGAGGAAAACAAAGATAAATTGGGGATACTTATTTTTAGATCATAAAATTTTGAAGGGAGCAAAAATAAATTAAGGAACACGAGGTCAAAAAGAAAATACTATTACAGTGCTGCGGTGAGAGTATATAAAATTTTTAAAAGACAAAAGATAACTGAAGGAGAATATATGATTGTTAATACACAAATCTTTATAATGCAATCACACAAATTCCACAATTGGAAAGTTTTTAATTTTATTTGACAAGCAAGTATATATGACAATCATTTTACTATTTCTAGAAGTGTGAGCTATAAGTGTGGTACGTTGTTTCCAAACTTCAATAATCAAAGCATTCCATAAGATATATTTTGCAAATTTATTTCTTTTAAATCACAACATTTCCATAACATCCTACTGAATTTTGTTGTAAACCAGGATCATGACTATGGATAATGGGAATAGTGTATCAAGTTGCCAAGGAGTCTCTTTATTACTACATAATTGTTCTCTATACAGTTTTATCAGTCCACGTGCTTTTTGTTTTCCCATCTCTAAAGACAGCCAGTAATAATAATGATGTAAAAAAGTGGATGACTGTCCCAGAAAAGTTCAAAACATAAAATGTTAGCACCAGAAAATTTACCATTTTTCTTAAGGTTTCTTTCAATTTTCTTTCAAATATCATTTAAATCCTATTTTTACTTAAAGTGTTTTCTGTTGTGTAGGTCCCCAAACCACAGTCTAATACATATGGAAATTATATATACATATATGAATATGACACATGAGCACATGATTTCCCCTAGACTATTTTTATTGTCATTATGAAAACTCCTATATGTCAGAAATAAAATGAATAACATTTAAACATTACTCATAGGTCTGCAATCATTTTTGTGGAGAAATAAATTCCCCTTGGTCATACAGCTTCTAGTTGCCTTTTTTGTAACTAAACAAATTGTGCACTCTTCATCCCACTTTTGTACTAAATTCAGCTAAATTATCATGGGGTAATAGATTTGGAGTGCCAGTGGGAATTAGTTAGATAAACACACATAGAACATACAAATTTCAATGTGGCAATAATTACAATGTCAAAAGAGTAAGAAAATGTAATATTAAAGCCTATTTATTACAGTTTTCTTCTATTAGAATTCAGATGTACCATGAGTGAAACCAGTTTTCAAAACAAAAGTTAACAACTACATGTCAAAGAAGATCAAATGTGACATGGTAAGCCAAAGAAGACTTGTTAATGTAGGCACTGAGGTTAGTCCGATCAGCTTACAGTTGACTCCCATTGTAGATATGATACAAGTTTCCTATTTGCCTCATTTGATATTTGTAAGTGGGGAGTGCTGAATTCAGAGCTGTTTCCCTGGGAAATGTTAGCAAGTTTCTGTATTGCTAAAGAGTTCAGGACAGTTTCCTGAGCTTTATATTCCTCTGTGTTCTGTTCTTGAGATATTTGAAGACTAGTGTGATTTACATTATTCATTAGCAAATCTGAAGCCATAAGATTGGTTATGGAGCAAGACTTTGTAAGATTTTCTTCCAAAAATTGTTTGTAGAGTTCACTGACCTTTTTTTCCATATAATTATTAAGTATAGAATTAGAGACAGGCTGCTTATAAAACAACATACTTCTTTCGCGAAATTCATCCCCATTCAATAACTTTGAAATGGAAGTTTTCTCTAGAGGCTCAATAATGATAGGGGAATGATCCAGTGGTATATCCACTGAAAATAAAGGGGGACCATTAAAAACATCATCATTTACATGTTCCACAAAGCCACTTGAATCATATATGTTCCTTACATGGTCACCTCCAATCTGTAGATCAGGATAATTCCAGCAAATACTTGTACATGAACAGGATCGATATAAATCCAATTGTTTATCAATTGATTCTCTCTTTGGAACGGGTAATGCAAGAGACACATTTCCTGGAACATGTGCAATTTTACATTTCACAATGGATAACTCATCCACAGATTTTACTTGATTTGTAATATTACTTTGTCCTGCAATACTTCCTTTCATAACATTTTTTTTATTGTCTGTCTTATGAGGAGCAGGTAAATTGTCTTCTATATATGAGAGCTGATTTTTCCAAGTTTCTTTTTCATCATTTGAGGTCTTCTTACATGTCAGTGGTTTACAAAATTTTGTGTATTTCTGTTCTTTGTATAGGAGTTCAATTAGAAAAGCTTCTCCAAGCATTTTATTTCACAGGATTTCTAAAATGAAGTGTAGATTCCTATAATATGAAAGAACTTGTTAAGATAAAGTACATTAAAATGCAAATAAGAATGTACTCATATTAAACCAACGTGCTTCAGAAATATAGTGTTGCTAGAACGATAGAGAATAGGTGTAGTAATAAAAAGATCCAATTCTGCCCCTAACTTTTTAGCACTGATTTATTTCCAGAACTCAATTTTCTCATCAATTAAATAACAGTACTACTTTCACTACCTTCTTCATAGGACTATTATTCAAAGTATAATATATGGTGCTTGATATGTTAAAAAACTACAAATTTGTACACATAGAATTATTATTTTCAGCTGTCTTTTAGGATTTGTGTAGAAATGACTAAATTGCCTAACTCATTTCCCAAGAGTCTACTTAAAATGGAGTCTTCTTTATGACATTCACTTGCATTGTGCTTTTAATTAATGCCATTGGAAACATAAATTGGAAACATTACTACACCTTAAAATGTATACAAGGTGTGGAAATTATATACTTCTTAGATCCATGAAAACTTTCTGCTTTATGTAAATATAGCCATTTACTTTCCTATAATGTGTGTGCAAGTTCATTTCTCAATTTACTTCCATTCTTTTATTCTCCTTTCATTCTTCCTGTTTTACTCCCTCCTTCCTCTCTTCCTCTTTCTTCCTTTTTCTGTCTTTTTATTTCTCCTTTCTTTTTTCTTCCTTTTCCTTCTTTGGACTCAAATCTTACTTCCCTAAGCACATATTTTAATCTTTTGCATGGTTCTTTCTTACAATTTTAAGTCTTTCAGTTTTCATTATAATATATCACAATTCTACAAAGGTATAAGAAGAAAAAATAGACTTGATTCAAAAAAGATTTCTCCTCTTACAGACTTATAGCAGTGATGGTGAACATTTAAAAGACTGAGTGCAGGGGGCTGGGGATTTAGCTCAGCGGCAAAGCGCCTGCCTGGCAAGCGCAAGGTTGTGAGTTCGGTTCCCGGTACCGGAGAAAAACCAAAAAAAAAAAAAGACTGAGTGCCCAAACTGCAATCCAAAACCCACTTATTTATCATACAGTGCCAAAATTACAATTAAATACTGAGTTTTGATTTTAGCAAAAGCATCAGGTGTTTTCTGATGCTTAGTGGCTGGGACACCTTGGCTTGTGTGCCACCAGAAAGGGCTCTGTGTGCCCACTGGGCATGCATGGGTTTTCCACCACTAATCTATAGTTTCTACTATAAATGGTATCAAGAAATCTACTTATACTTATATTTAAATAATTTTTGCAGAAAACAAAACATTATAAATACAAAATATATAAGAATTTAAACTCACCTTTTCCAAGGGTCAGGATACCTAAAGATTTTGTCTCCTGAAATTCCAATAGTCCAAATGAAGCAATATATCTTCTGAGTTATTTGTGTCTCAGCTTCTGGTTACACCTCAGGAAGATAGCTTTAACCACATAAAATTGTTCTCCTTTCCATTCATACCCTGGGACTGAAACAAACTCATATGACTCATATGACGTGTTATGTGGATTTGTCATACGTGTGGTTTGGTAATGATCACATAACAAAAGAGGATCTTGAAAGAGTTATTCAAGTTGAAAATGGTAGTAACTGTGGGAAAATGTTAACAACAGTAATTTTTTCATGTGCATGAAGGTAGAGAGGTATTGTTGTTTTTAAGAAGAAAAGTAGGGTGATTATCATTATAGTATATCACAATAAATAATTTGAAATAACTCAAAAGACCACAAATAAGAGAGTGCCAAAATAAATTATGATTCATCTATAACATGAGATGATAAATTGAGCATGTTTAATGATATAATGTTAAGCATCAATTGAGTAATTTCTACAGTCATTTTAAATGTTCTATATCTATGATTTAATCTAAAGCACACTCTAGTAGCCCCACTTTACAGTTAACAGAGAGAATTATTATATACTTTTTGAAGGTCACAAAACTGTTAAATAATAGCACTAGGATTATAAACAGGCAATTGGATTCAGAGCTCATGCTCCTAATCACTACACTATATTTCCTGGTTATATGTATAGAGTGTAACTTGTAGAAGAGTCACTATCATATGGTTCTGTTCCATCATGAACTGTGTGTTCCATGTACCAAATACATCTTTCTAAATAATTCACTCAAATGAATTTTAGGATTGTTTCCTCTAATTCTGTGAGTATGCAGTCACTCTTTTGATTGGACTATATTAAATTGGTATAGTAATTTTGGAAGTATAAACATTTTCACTGTACTGATTCTTCCTACCCAACAACAAGGCATATATTTCCATGTTCTGATGTACTCTTTCCTCTCTTTTTTCAAAATACTGTAGTTCCCAATGTAAAGGTCTTTTACTTCCTTCATTAGATTGATTCTGAAGTATTTCATTTTTCTCTGATGCTATGGTGAAGAGTGTGGTTTCCCCACTGTGGAAATCAGTTTGGAGATTCCTCAGAAAACTAGGACTAGAGGTCCCATTCAACCCAGCTATTCCTCTTCTGGGTATTTTCCCAGAAGATCTAAAAACATCATATCACAGTGATATATGTGCACCTATGTTCATAGCAGCACAATTTGTAATTGCTAAATTGTGGAAACAACTCAAATGTCCATCCACAGAGGACTGAATAAGAAAATTGTGGTAGTTTTATATAATGGAATATTACTCAGCTAAAAAGAAAGATAAACTCAAGGCCTTTGTAGGTAAATGGTCACAACTAGAGACCATACTCATAAGTGAAATACATTAGACCTGCATGTGCAAGCACCGCATTGTCTCACTAGTGTAAAACCTGAAAGAGTTAATTTAAACTCGGAGATATGATAGACATTGTGAAATGA